TTTTTGTGAAGCACATTTCTAAGCCTATAAGTTTCTTACTAGATGAGCTAACGGGGTCAATCAATCGTCATTTTGTAGAGCGTTTTTTACTGCATCATTTCTTCACAGAGACAAATTTACAACCACTTGTTTCACTATAGAAAAATTTATTATTCAAATCGAGTCAGGACTTCTGGCCCACCCTTTAATGGAAGCATCACATCAACGGTGACTTGCCGATGTAATGTGGTTTTCTTAACATGTTCTGCGATGAATGTTTTTGGGCATTTTGTTGGGTTATTCTAAATGGTCCTTCATATCTAACATCGAATTTATGATGCACAGCTTTAATGAGTACTAAATCGCCGATTTTGTACGATGGATCTTGACGATGTGTATCATAACGAGATTTATATTGTGCTTGACTGTTAGTTATGTTTTCACGTGCTGCTTGTGTCAATGTTAATTCGTTCGATTTGTCCATTAGTTTGTGGATGGTAGGATGTTGAATAAATATGTGTTACTCAAAATTGTTTAAATAGTTCGTCCATTAATAATGCTGTAAAATGTGAGCCGTTGTCCGTCAGTATACATTTTGGTGTGTCATATTGGGTGATGACTTCTTCCTTGAGAAAACAAACTGCGGTTTGAGCTGAGCAGTCTCTTACTGCTTTTGCAACGACAAATTTTGAGAGAACGTGGGTGATGGAGATGATGTGTCTCTTTCCTCTTTTCAATTGTGGTGAAACTGGACCGTGGAAGTCCATGGTCAGAAGGTGCCAAACGCCGCTCGGTGCAGGTATTGGTTTCAAATGTCCAGGTGATTTTCGCCGTTGTGGATTAAACTGTGCACATTCTAAACATAATTTCACGTGGTTTTCAATGTCGTTGTGCATTGTTGGCCAATAATATCTTTGTTTAATTTTGTGAAGGGTCCTATCTCGGCCAAAGTGAGAACCATTTGCGGCAGTGTTGTGGTAAATTTTTAAAATCCTTTCAAGATATGTTCCTTGTGGTACAAATGGTACTGATGGTGACTTACGACGCATGAGGAGTCCATTTTTAATGAAATATCTCTTTTGATTTTGAATATCTTCTATAATTTGTTTGGCTTAATAATCTTGTTGTTGAGCGTCTTTTAGTTGCTCTAATGTAAATGATCAATCCATCAATATCAACACCATTTTTATTTCCAAATGCTATTGCTTGTTGGAACAAATATTTAAATGAAATTTCATTTCTCATACGATTGAATTGTTCACAAATTGTTTTGATGAGATTTTGTGCACTACCGAGATCAGTGGATACTCCATTTGAATAAAATTTGAAAATGAAAATAAAAGTACTACTAATTTTCTAGAAAAAATTAATATACACTTTAACTGATCCGAAAGAATCTTAATTGGACCCAACAAACGATGTAATATGAACGATGCCACTATAAACATTGAGTCCTCCAAAACCACTAACAAACCTCGAGCATCAACCGCACGACCACCTCCGTCATGTATCAGATCTTGTAATGCTTGAGTAATTGCTGAAAAATTAGATTTAATTGAATCTATGGATTTAAATCTGGAATCCCACTTAGTAATTGCCCATCTTTTTAATACTGATGTTGTATCTAATTCAAAAAAAATATGGACACAGCTATATCAAAAATACATAGCTATTTTTAATTCCTTTACCTAATTCCAATAGTTTTTGCGCATCACAAATATAACGGTTAGTGACACCAGATGCTGTAAAATAATCATGGATTTTAGAAACAATGGAAAAAAATGTATCGATATATGGTACTACTGAACAAACATCGCATATGACCAAGTTGAGGCGATGCGCCATGCAATGAGTATAGATGCCTCTCGGCATATAATTCTATTGTAATATTACATGTACACCATTGTGCTGTCCGGACATGACCGAAGCCCTAAAGAAAAAAATACAGAAGATAACAGAGCCGAAGCGTCTAAACTATCTTCACTAAACCCATCGTAGCATTGAGCTATGCACATGGACAACGAAATATTGTGATTTATTAAGAAATCACTTATTTCTTTTGCTAATGTAGCAGCATCAAATCGATAAAGACGAACAAATTTCATGAAGAACTCGTTTATTTGATATTGATCATCAACTAGACGAAGACAGATGGATAATTGTTTGTTATGACTAACATCTGTTGCTTCATCCGCTAATAACACGTACACATTATCACGTAACTAAAATAATAAAATACATTCTATAGCGATGATACGAACTCAATACTAATATCAGATCTGGTTTGGATTCTACCATAGAATATAAATTAATTTTATAGAATTTCTAGAAGATTGCAATTAGCAAATATTTTTCTCTTACTCTTTCAGCAATACTATCACGTATTTGATTTGCCATAATATTTATTAATTCATTTTGTATGTGATGTGACAAATATGTAGCATTTCCTGCACTTTCTTCCAAAACAGTTCTGGCTAATGGATCAGTATGAGCAGACCACTTTAACCCTTTACGGGCGGCTCCTAGAAGGCGAATAGCAAAAAATTCTTTTTGCACATATTTCTTATTGATGTATCGTAAGTATAACAAAAATATAATCTTCGAAACAAAAATATTAGTTTTTACTTAATAACTCTATGTTGCCATTTGGCAACAGCCGGCCGTAAAGGGTCAAAAATTTGAAAAAATTATTTTTTTGCTTTCGATCGTCAAAACGCACTAT